TTCTAACCTTCTGAATCCCCCATCATCTTTATCTTTCTGTTTCTAAATTTATCTTACTGAATTATACTTGTCGAATTATATCTTCGCTCCCTAATCTTCTTCATTACTGCTAATACTTCTACTATTGCTAACACTCTTGGATTTGAATTGACAGTTGCGTCTCTCTGCTGATGGGGCATGGCAACCTGAACTGATGTACTTACGTACGAAGTTCTGCGTTGTATATGTCTGTCTGATTGAACATTTAGATTTCGTATATTTTCTCACTTGTGGAATGAGATCCAACTTACAGTTTTAAGCACACTCAAGGTATTTTGTGTAGGGTAGTAGGCAATTGATGCAGCGAATAAAGGTTGAGAGTGATTTTATTTCACTGTTAGATGGCGATGAGTCCACACTCTACATATTGAATAGCTTCATTGGATGTAAAAAAAATAGTAACTTAAGCAATTTGAAAAGATCAGATTTAATTTCATTCAAGTTCAAGTTTATTATAGGTTGATTTATACAACATACATAGTGTAAATCATTTCTGAACAGATTCTACTTTTTGTTAAAAAAAAACAAACGATCGAAACTTTCCTCCGCTCAACCTTTTGCTCATCCTCACGACAGTATACAGTTGCCAAATTTAAGATCTACTTAAATACAAGTGGTTTGTTTTATTTCATCTATCCAAATCAAACTGTACTGTATATTTGGTAAACCTTGCTGTTTATAAGTTAATCAAGCTAAAAAACCCCGCTTAACCCTTGTCCCCGTGTCGTTTTGTGCCTAAATTCTGAGTTATATATAAACTGTCTAATAGTTATATTCTCTCTCTCTCTCTCTCGATACTAGGTAAAGCCTCGATATAACCATTACGACACAAGTTTACATACAATAATTAGAACGTAGATAAAGCAATAGCGTTCGAAGCAAACGGTACTGAGTTCAAGTCTCAACGAGAAAAAGAACAACTCTGAGAAGAAAGGGTACATTAAACTGACGAGTCCTGAATAGGACGAAACACGCCTTCTAAATTCCATTGTCAGCCATATTCTATGTTAATCGGATAACAAAAAAGTACACACCAATAGAAATGTCTTTTACACTGCATTATTAAGTAACTTAAATTGAAGATTCACTGTAATCATCCCGCCTAACATTGTTGATTATTTCTTGACCTTTTTTTTCTTTGAAAATTCTCATTTTCTTGTTATTTGAACAGTATCGTTTCTATCATACCATTAACAACTGGTTTATGTTATTTATTGGCTATTTCAAAAACTGGTGTTCGTTTATATTTCGGTGAGAATCTACGTTTAATGCATATACGATTACCACCTTCTTCTCCTTATGATACAATTGGTTTAAGTGATGTAAAGTAAGTTAGCTGGATAGTGTTTTTGTGTAGTTGAGTGGGTGGGTGGGTGAAATGTTGATTTTAAAGCTTTTTAACTGTATCATCCATCGTTTATTATACCGGTAATTTGGTTTAATTGTTTGTTTTTTTTGAAACCATGAATCGATCAATGTTAGTTAGACCAGCGCTATTAGAAACCTGGAAGCATTGAAGGACGGATGTTTCGTCCTGGTATGGGATTCATCAGCAGCAGTGTGCATCCACAACTCCTGCACTCCGCAGGATTCCATCTCGGAATAAATTGTTTAGTTTTACACTCAAAAATGCCAACCAAATTAATCGAACATGTATTGAGTTTTTTTTTACAAGATTAGATTGTTTCTTTTAATTTTGCTGCGTGCTTATCAAAGACGACATACTTAATTACTTACGTCTGTTACGCCCAGTGGAGCATAGGTTGCCGACCAGCATTCTTTCACATACTCTGTCCTGGGCCTTCTTTTCCAGTTCTGTCCAATTTTTGTTCATTCTTCTTCTGTCTGTCTCCATTTCTCGGCGTAATGTATCCCTTGGCCTTGAGGATTTTAATTGAGGGCTTGTTTTGTGACGCAGTTGGGTGCTTTCCTCAGTCTTTTTGTCCTATCCACTCTCAACACTTCTTCTTGTGGAATCTGGTTTGTTCTCTCCTGCATATGAAATAATTCACAACATATAGTTGATATCAAACTAAAGCGTACCAGTTTATGATTGAGCTATTAAAGAATGAATACAAACTATCCAGCTGGAGTTCCATGTGATTATTTCTCCATTCTTGTTTAACTTTGTCGTAGACATCCTCTTAGAGTTAACATTAAGCTCGTCAGATTTTTCAGGGGTTGACGTTCTACCTGGAAATTCGTTTACTGATCTAGAATATGCCGATGACATAGTTCTATTCGGTGAAGACGCTGACAAAATGCAGAGTCTTCTGACTACCATAAGCAACAATGCGAGCATGTTCGGGATGCGGTTTTCCCCCTCAAAATGCAAAATGTTGCTTCAAGACTGGGTTGCATCGGCACTTGAACTAGTGATAGGGAGTGAAGTAGTCGAGCGTGTTGATCACTTCACTTATCATGAAGTCACTGACAAGTGGACTGAGTCATGTTGGTAGATGTAGGCTACCTGGTTGGGGTCCGTGAGACGAAAGTCACCAATGGTTAGAGACCTTGAACGACATGGCTCAAAATCGTTTGCAATGGCGCAAGTGCATCCATTCGTTGTGTTCTCTCAAATCCTAATCTTCTGGATTAGCCAGCACCTCTATCTTTCTCTTTCTAACCTTATCTCACTGAATCATACTTCTTGAATAATATCTTCAAACCCTAGTCTTCTTCATTTATCATTAATACCTCTACTATCTTTATAACTATGGGATTTGAATGGACATTTGCGTCTCTGTGCTCATGTGGTATGGCAACATGAACTTATGTACATACGTACGAAGTTCAATGTTGCAACTGACTGACTGACTGATTATCGTAACCACTAGTTTAGTAAAACATTGTACATCATTTCTTTATTGTGGATGTTCTCATCTAACTGTTTTCATCTTCCTTTCTCTCATTCATTAAGGAAGCATATGAGAATTCTAGACCAATTTATGTTTCGTATATATAAGGCAGTGGACAGTCGATGTATTCCTAAACTTCATATACCACCGTCCTGATAACTGCTGTTATAAAACGCTAGCCGTTGTTTAAATTCTCTTTATTATTTAAAATATATATGCTAATCGATGCAGTGATCGAATCTGTTACAAATATATTATAGTCAATACTATTGTCAAATTATTTAAACAATGAATCAATAAAGCTCATGTATATGAGGAGCTCCGATAGCTCTTCCCTCCGCCGAATTCAAATATTTCAATACGACCCAAATATTATTCCCAAATCTCCTGTATATCAGAAGTTGTTTAATTGGTCGAGTACAGTAGTAGAGAGAAAGGCTGGAAGAAACGGAATTACAAAGCTTTACAAATACTGCGTATTTATACATTTAAGTCGAATAGGAAACAGTATCGAATTTTCTGTGATATTGTCAGTTTAGGACGGCCAATAGGAAAGAATATTTGAAATGATATTGACAGTCAGGACAACCAATAAGAAACAACATTGGAGTACGTGACATTGATATCTACTAGGACGACCATAAAATTAACCAATAGGAATTAACCAATAAGAATTGACCAATCATTCTTTTAGGATGTTGGGTGAATATCCTAAAAAAGATAAAGAAGTTATCGCGTAGGGTAAGCGTTACAAGTCCGTATGAGCTTGAGTTCGCGTTCGTTCACGAGGATCAAAAAAATACTGCAATTTTTTCAGATGGTTATACACATTCGGACAATCGAAATACACAAAATATGTCGAATTTAATATTGGATACGGTAAAATTTTCAATGTGCACATACGAAACGCAGATTTAAAAAAACTCTCATATTTGCAATTGTGAGAGGAAGTATGAATTCAAAATCATATCTACATGTAGCTGTGACCATTGTGTCTCTTCGGTTATATCTTTTCGTTTTCTGGACTGTCTTCATTTTTCTTGGTTGCTGGAATTGATGTTTCGGTGATTCGATGGTTTTTCGAACGATTAATGCCTATTGACTGATTATGTTATCTTTGATGAAAGTTGGTTTTATTCGGTCGATGCGAAATTGCATCCTCTTTCTCCAGCTTTATCTATCCTAATAGTCTTGTCAGTTAGTCAGTCAGTTACAACGTAGAACTTTTGTACGTAAGTACATCAGTTCATGTTGCCATAACACATTAGCACAGAGACGCAAATGTCAAATCAAATCCCATAGTGATAAAGATAGTAGAGGTATTAATGGTAATGAAGAAGATTAGGGTTTGAAGATATTATTCAAGAAGTATAATTCAGTGAGATAAGGTTAGAAAGACAAAGGTAAAGGTGCTGACGAATCCATAAGATTAGGATTTAACAGAACACAAACAGTGGATGCACTGGCGCCATTGGGAACGATTTTGAGCCATGTCGTTCAAGGTCTCTAACCATTGGTGACTTTCGTCTCGCAGACCCCAACCAAGTAGTCTACATCTACCAACATGACTCAGTCCACTTGTCAGTGACTTCATGGATTTCTGCCATGTTTTGGTTGGGCCGCGCTTAGCTTTCCTCTAGCCTAGGATTTCTACACAACAAAACATAGCTCGTCGAGGCAGTCGGTGGTTAGGCATACTTAAAACATGTCCCAACCACTTCAACTGGTGATCTTCCATCCTTACTTAGTATTTGTTTCCTACCTGTAACAGCACACGTGACCAAATTGGTCACAATCAAATTAATCCAATTTAGTTTACTCGATCAATTATATCAGTGAAGTTTTCTACTAGGATCACGGATTATTAAAGTGAATATTTCCTATAATGTATTAATGTTTTTGCTTATGGTTTTTGTATAGATTAGCAGTGGAAACACGTGGTACAGTGATTATGATTTCTGCTTTACCACAACATTTAACATCTTTTAATAATGGCACCGCATTGGGTCTATTCAATCCACGTTATCCAACAACATCACGCTCTGCTGCTGGTGCTGCTGCTACACTTAATCAAACCAATTTAAATATGAGTTTAGGACAATTTTTCCCAACAGATCTTGACAGTAATCATAATGGTGGTGGCGGTACTAGTATTAGTAGTAGTAGTTATAAGGCAACTACTACATCGATACTTGATCAATCAGATGATAATTTGAATGTATTCACTAAACAAATTCCACCTCACGTGATTTATACAATTAGTCCAGATTTATATCCATGGACATTGAATTTAACAGAGAGTTTTACTACAAGTTGGTGTGTTGATGGTGGTGCATGGGCGTTAACTGTACTGCCGGAAAGTCAACAACAATTTGTAGATTCTATGCGGAATGATTATTTCACTGGTGGATATGTAACAATGGAGAAAAAGTAAGTGAATTGTGTAATTTTTTTTCTCTCTCTATCCCCCAACTCCTTCCTATCTTATCACTACTAACTAGCCTTACATGTACAGCAAATTACATTGCTTGTCATAGGAGGTGCTGGTTGTACTTACCTGCACATATCTCAGTCACCTTATTCAGTGAGAATTTATAGCTTCCTCAATCAACTTTCGTTTTCTTACCTGGTGGTATCATGAACGAAGACGTTAAGACCGAGTGGAATCAGTGATTTAGTGAAAACATGAAAAACACGTACGCAAAACTATCAGATTATTGACTGTCTCCTACACCTGTCTTCTAATTGCTCCATACTTCAGGATCGGACACTCTTCTTTTTGGTAGTGACTTCTAGGTGACACTTATAAGTCACGTTGTGAGTAGTACCTGCCACGCTAGTACTCTGCATCGAAAATCAGATTAGCTTACGCGGTGGTTTTAAAATATTTTCTCAGTGCTTTGACGTTGACTACAATCAAATGCTCGTAAAGTATTAGTGTGGTGCGAGCTACTTATAAGTAGTATATGACGTGAGTGTCAACGTAATGTCTGGCAGCACAAGATGGGGGAAGATCAAGAAAGGAAGAGTTAGAAAACAATGGAATTTGTGTATGAAACGCATGAACAGTGAGTGACAATGGATTGATGTTTTGCAACAGGAACAGTCCAGTTCGATATGATGGACTGATATTTTGCAAATGAACGATTTACGATATGGTTTTCCGATTTTACTGAGTAACTCTGTAATTTTCGTTAAATACAGTTTGGTTGTCCTCACCTGTGTTCTCGTTCACTACATTAGGACTGACTAAACTGCCGCTGAGGATGCACTTGCGCCATTACAAATGATTTTGATCCATGTCGTTCAAGATCTCTAACTATCGGTTATTATCGACTCGCGGACCTCAACCTGTTGGTGTACACGTACCAACATAGTTTAGTGCACTTGACTTGTCAGTGACTTCATGGATTTGTGCCGTGTTTCGGTCTGGCTACCCCTAGCACAATGTTCTCACTAGACTTGACCAATTGACACAGTGTGATACAATACGTATATTTTATTTTGTCCAATGGTTTGAAGTATTGAACAAGTAATTTTTCACTGGTTTTTAAAAAAAACTCACTTTTAATGCGGAAATGTGTTTTTTTCGCCTTTCAGTTCTACTTTATTGATGGTTGTTCGTTCCATGCCGCGAGCGTTAAGCTTTAAGTTCTAAAATAAAATAATTTACTTTATCGAAGAAATAAATTGCTATTTTTCTGTCTATTTTGATTTTTTATCGTTTAAAGTTAATGCTATCATCCAATCTTCTATATTTTGAAATCATGAATCGATCAGTGTTAGACTACCACTAGAAACCTGATAGTACTGGAGGACGGGCGTTTTGTCTTGTTATGGGACACATCAGCGGCAGTGCGCACCCACGACTCCTTCAACTCGCAAGAATCGAACCCAGCACGTTTGGTCTTGAGCAGGAACGCCTCACTTTTGGATCACGGGGTCGGTACCTAATAGAGTTAATGTCTAACTTGCATGAGTCATGGATGAACACTACTGAAAAGTCCTATACCAGGACGAAACGGCTGTCCAATGCTTCCATTGATCGATTCATGATTTCAAAAATTCACTCAACAATCTCCACAATTCTCTCATGCAAATCTTCCATTCATATTTACAATAGTGATATATTTCTTTTCTCTGTCTTTGCTTCAAATTTCAAGTTGTTCAGAGTCGTCACGTCGTGCTGGTGGCAGTGGTCGCGGTGAACCGCCAGTGGTATTGACACAAATTTTAGATCCACCCTATCGACGCTTATTATTGATCTCTGCACAAGGGATTGTACATTTTCGTCTAGCTAATCCATTGACACGGTTGAGAGAATATTTATCACGTGAATTCTCTACTACTACTACGACGACTTCGCCTAATTCCTCATTTATACCAGGTTATGGTGATCGTCAACTCACTGAAATGATTTCAACTATACCAAATTATTTAGAGAATGATTTCAAGTTAGGCTTAGAAGGTGGTGGTTATCTATCGGCATTTTTACATCAATTCAATGCAGATGAAGCTATTTGTGCTGCATTGGCAATTGGTGCCTCAGCTACGGTATCTGGTAGATTGGGGAAAAGTTTGCAGTTGGTAGCTGAACAAGTAAGTGAAGTGTTTATGAGAGTGATTATTTGGTTTTTTTTGTTGATGAAATTGCATTGATTGATTGATGTGAAAATAACATGCAGATGTGATAGTATTCATTATTTATTCAAATTCAAAGTCATTGACAACTGGATTGTCATGATTGGTTGGATTGCGCGAGATAATGGTAATCGACATTGTTAAAAATTGTTTGCGAATGACTCAGGTGCATCTATTCGTTGTGTTCTCTCAAATCCTTATCCTCTAGATTCTTCATCAGTTTTGTCTTACTCTTTTTAAGTTTATTTCACAAGATTATACTTGAATAGTAGTATCCTAATCTCTCCGATTACTGCTAATACTTCTACTACCTCCACTACTATGGGATTTGAACTGACAGTGGCGTCTCTGTGTGCTAATGTAGTATGGTGACTTGGACTGATGTATGTACGTACGAAGTTCTACGTTGTAACTGACTTATATTCAAATATTGACATTTGGACGATTACGCGTAAGGGGTTTTTTCATGCGTTTCTCTGTACATCTGTGGTGCGCGCTACTTATAAGTAGTATATGACGTGAGTGTAAACGTAATGTCTGGCAGCAGAAAATGGGGGAAGATCAAGAAAGGAAGAGTTAGAACACAATGGAATTTGTATGAAACGCATGAATAAGTCAAATGTCAGACAATGGATTGATGATGGATTGAAGATTTGCAAATTAACGGTCACGATATGGTTTTCCGATTTTACTGAGTAACTCTGTAATTTTCGTTAAATACAATTCGGTTGCCCCCCACCTGTGTTCTCCATCATTACACATTCTTTTCCCCATCATATTGCCTTGGATATTTATCATTTTTGAATTTCGAACTTACTCCTCTGTTCAATGCAAACTTAAATCAAGAGTCAGTTTCTTGGCCGTTTTTTCTTTATCGCTTATGCTTATTTATTGCACAGATTAATACATATTACGTAACTTAGGCTACTATTTGATTTGAAATCCTAAAAATACACAAAATATATGACTCACTTGTGAAATACACATTATTCTGTGATAACCTGTAATTGAACTCCTAACTATGCAAAGAAAAAGCCGATTCGTTTGTCACGACTTAGACCAACGATGTAGTGTTATACATACTTCGGTTGATGAGTTTTATCACTAACTAATCGAACTGTTATGTCTCAAACAATAATGGACGCATTGTCATTGAAAGTAATTAGTATATATATATATATATATATATATATATATATACGCAGAACTTTGTGCGTGTGTACGTCAGTTCAACTTGCCGTACGACATTAGCTCTCAGCGATGCTATTGTCAATCTAAATCCCATAGTAGTAGAGGTGGTAGAAATATTAGCGGTAATCAAAAAGATTAGGGATCGAATATATAGTTTGAGAAGTGATATGCTTAAAACTAGTACGAGTTCACCTTACTCGGTAAATGGAACGAAGATCAACAATACAGGTTATTCTAATCCATTTGTCCCAGGCCCCGCTAACTATAGCAAGAAGTCTTGATATAAGGAGTAGAGAATATATTCTACAAGCACTTAGAAAATTCGTGGTTGCTAAGCATACAAATTAAGCTTATTTATTACAATAATAGAAACACCCTAGGGATAGTCACAAAATACCGTATTAAAAAAAATCCGTCAACCAATGACAGTCAAGGATTTCTGAGTGTGGGAAATGTAAGCTTTAGGTCGACTAAACGCGAAAACATAAAAATTCAAACTTTCAGAAATAAATTACAAAATTAGACCCTAACCCTATCCCAGAAGAATCAATTTAAAAACGAAACGAACGGTCAGGAGGAATTCAGAAGATTATTATTTGCGTGAATACAAAGAATGGATGCATCTGTGCCATTGGAAACGATTATGATCCATGTCATTCAAAGTCTCTAACCATCGATGACTTTCGTCTCGTGGACTCCAACCAGGTAGCCTACATCTGCCAACATAACTCAGTCCATTTGTCAGTTTCTTCATGGATATGTGCCATGTTTTGGCTTGGCCACCCCTAGTTTTCTTTCAGGCTATTCCTACACCAGGTATCATCGCTCGTTCAGGAAGTC